AATGGATACAAGATCTCCTAATGCCTTTGGCAAAATAGTGATTCTTATGTCTTTATGAAAGTAGTATATGAAGTGGTCACTCAATCTGAGTATTATTTAGCTTTAAAAGTTAAACTTTGTGAACACCAAAGTCTTATGATGGATGATAGTGATGCAGGTATACTGGCAGAGACAGAAAGGAAATACAGTGCAATGTGAAATTAGCAGTGGAGTAACTGAAAAAGACATCTCTAGGAGCTGAGTAAGAGAGTGGAACTTCAATATGGTAGGAACTTCTTTGTGTATTTTTAATGTGCCTGAATGTTTTTTTTCCTTATCCTTCAGGTTCAAAGATCACCCAACGTTAAATGAAAGATATTTATTACTTCATCTGCTTGGTAGAGGTGGCTTTAGTGAAGTGTACAAGGTAAGGTAAATTTTCTTGTGTTCTTTATACTAATATAGCAGAGATGAGCATATGATGATGAAGTACTTGTCTTTTGTTTATTGATCTATGACTGATTTTATGTCCTCATTCTCCTTTCAAAAAAGTCTGTCGTGCCTGGGGTTGTTGTATCTTCAGTCTAAAGACTGCATTTGCACCTATGCTGTCCCTCTGAGTTTAGTTCCTAGGTACCATTAGCCTGATCACTACAGGTAAAAGCCATTTGAATCAACATAGGGAGGTAGTCACTTATTACAGAATGTTTATGGAAAAACATCATGTAAACAAACACATGTCAGAAATCTTAAAATGCCCTGAATTTATTCAAATTTCCACCTTCTTTAAGGCCATAATTTCGCAAATACGTTTGTATAAATGCAGATATTTTTATATTTTATTCCTTTTTTTCTTTATTGACTTTATACTGTATCTTTCAGCCCAACTTTTAAATATTCCTAAGTTCTGTTTTTATCATTCTGTTCTCCCTTTAGAAGAGTTTTATCCCCTCATTCACTGTTTCCACCTCTGTATGTATACAGCCATCCATCCCAGACTTTCATTCTGAGCTCCATACCTGTGTGAGACTTCGTTTATTTCAGTTCATGTAAATGTTCATAGGAATGCCCCCCTGGGCCTGCAAACTCAGGTCTGGAATAGAAGTGACCCTCTCCTTCTCCACAACGCCTTGTAGAACGTCGCTGCCTACTTCAGTGTGTGCCCTTGCAGTTCATCTGCTTGGCCCTTCGGGTGAAGAACACGAAAACCACCCTTCACTCTTCCTTTCCCTCAGTTCCCTTCCCCCAGCATATTATGAGACCTGGTGTTACTGGCATTCTTAAGATCTAAGTCCAGTAAGGACCCCTCTCTTCTGTGTCTCTTATAATAGCACCAGGTTCGTCCCCAAGCCTCCTAGCTGACCGCAGCCTTCTGGGCATTGTTTGCGAGGTCATTTTGTGTACCACAGCTAGAGTGGCCTTTTTAGAGTCTGATCATCTTCCTGCTTGAAAGCCCCAGCAGCTTGCCATTTGCTTTCAGTTACGAGTAAGTCACATATTGAAGGTCACTCACCTCCACCTTCACTTGCTCTAGAAGTTTCCCTGATTGTCTGCACCTCCTCAGATCAGATTCAGTCTGTCTTTTATGGGCTCCTTGTGGCAGCTTGTGCTTCAGTACATATCTGTACAGTTAGTGGTTAAGACCTTTGGTTCTGAAGCCACAGACTGTCTGAATCCTGACCGTGGTGACTATGTAAACTTGAGCTTATTAAACCTCTGCCGCACTGTCTCTTCCTGGGGGTAATAACTACCCACATTATAGGGTTCTTGTAATGATCAGCTGTGCTGTCTCAGGAAAATCACATAGAACTTTGGTTTAATAAGGTGATTATTAGAAATGCTTCCTGTTCAGCGAGACAAGTTCTGTGCTTTTCTGGTTTACTGAAGATGACCTAGTTTCTAATTTTGACTCCGGGAAAAATAATGAGATTTGGATTTAAAGAACTTCAGTTCTCAACTGTGAATCACTTTTTGTTGTTTTGCTAACTTGGACAAGCATTAAGTGTCATGCTTACACCTTCTTTATACTAGTTAAGAATGATCTTTGTGCTCGCTTCCAACTCCTACTTCTGATTCTATTGCTAGTTCATTGCTAAGCACTTAATAACTGCAGTAGGCTTGCCCAGGCCACACAGGAGAAAAGATCATAATACAGTAGTTCATTTCGGATCCCAAAATCACTCAAGTATACTGTTCGTTCAGCCTGAAAGTTGCCAGGCTTCCAAGCCATCGTGAGCATTCACGACAGTCCTTTGCTGCTGCTCAGTACTATTTCAACTTCTTTTTAAAGACAACTTTAATGTGAGAACTGCAGAAATATGACTGCCATTACTATAGAGTCCTCATGTAAAGATTAGAACGGACTTTTCTATTAGTCCTTCAAGGACAGCTTTCAAAGTGTTTGATTCTATCTCATGCTGTGAGTAGATTGGTTACTCCTCACTTTGTAAGTGGGCTATGTGAAATTTTTTATCAACTGATTACAATTTTGGAATTCCAGATGTGGAAGAAAACTAGATCGCCATTTTTTATTACCCCCATCAGGATATGTAAGGCATGTAGACAAAAGCTTTTGATAGTTTAACTGTAATGAAAGGATAAACACTATAGTAATTCACACGATGCAAAATGGGCAAAAGGAGAAGACTAGCTTCAGTTCTTTATTTCAACTGTTGTTTGTTTTGTCCTGTTTTGTTTGTTTATTTTTACTCCATAGATAGAACTTTTGGAGAAAAGGCTTATATAAAAATTGGAAAATGCATATTGGGATCCAGTGACTTGAACTTTCTTTACTGACTTAAATAGTAGCTACAGCTCTTATCATCACTCTCCCCAAGACCCTTTTATAGGTGCTAGGCCCATTGGGAGACCAAGCAGATTGTAAATCAAAAAATACTTCCATCTTAAAGCAAGGTAGAAGAGTTTGATTCAGTTGGCTGAGTGATTAATATTACTCTATGCAAAGGTATATCCCTACTCATCTAATCTTGGGAGAAAGATGTGTAGATGTCATTTCTTATAGTTAGTATACACTGATACTAACTTTTTATTGGTAATATACTTAAAGTTTTTCTTTGATTATCCTTTATTATAATTGCCTTTGAGTTATACCTTTATAAGCTTTTTTTACTCTTAAGTTTTATCGCTATTCTATTTTTTTAAACTTAATCCTCAGTAGTAGTAATGTAATTAGCTACTATTTATTGGATATTTGCTATGAACCATGTATTCTAAACACTTTATATTTTTCACCCTATTCAATCCTCTCAACTCTAACTTTGTAAATAAGACAAGGGCTGAGAGAGGGTGAGTATTAGCACAAACTCACTCAACTAATGAATTCCTCTAACTCTGGAGGAATATTCCTTACTGTTGCATCCTATATTATGTCTGATTTCATGCTTTCATACTTTTTTAACAAAGCAGTCATTTTACTGTTTTCCCCATTATTGCTAATGTTTCGATTAAATTGATGGGGAGAGTGGAATTGGGGGCAGGAGGACCTTTCTAATACATAATCTTTTAAGTGTTAATTGTTTTTCTTTTTTTGGGGGGGGGGGAAAGGGGAGAAGTTTTTGCTATAGGGTACATGTGGTCACCAGAAGAAGAGACAGAAAGTGAGAAATCACTCCCCAGGGGTGATGGCCGCACCACAATCCCTTCTCCTCCATTCTCCTCTTGAGATATTGGGCACACACGCACATGCACCCGGTGTGAGTTTAAGCCACCGGGTCCAGGACTCAAACTGTGGTCGACTACATGGCAGTCCAACAACATAGCTATTACACCATCTGCTGGCCCCCTCAAGTGTTTTGTTGTTGTTTTTTTTTTTTAAAGAGATACCTTTGTATGTAAATCACATTCGAACCTAAATGATTAAATGTCTTTAATGGCATTCACTGTTTTAGAAAATATGTCATGTGAAGCTGTAAAATACTGACCATTCTGTGTTTTTTTCTTTTAAGAAGTAGACTGATAATTTGAACATAACAAGCATAATTCTTTTCTTTGAGACAGCCAGAGAAAATTGAAGATAGGTTGGATATTAGATCACATAAAAGAGTTGTTATTGTTTAGTTAGGTATGATAATGATAGTTTATTTTTTTATCTCTTAGAGATAAATACTAAAAAATTAAGGGTGGGGACCAGCAGATGGGCCAATGGTTACATTGCTGGACTCCCATGTAGTCTGCCGTGGTTCAAGTCCTGGACCTGGTGGCTTCAAGCTCACAATGGGCGAGTGTGAGTTTGAAGTTCATGTCCCCAAGATCCCAAGAGGAGAATGGAGGAGAAGGGATTGCGGTGTGGCTATCCCCCTTTGGAGGGCGATTTCATGCTTTTTGTGTCTCTCTGGCGAACACACATGCCTTATAGCAAAAATCTCTTTCTCAAAGGATGAACTGATGTATTAGATAGGATTGATTTTATAGATATTTCATGGAGGGAAAAAGCATGCTAGTAAGGAACAAATGAAACAGAAATGCCAAAATATTGATAGTTTTGAAACTGGATGGTGAGTATTTTAGGGTTCATTATATTATCCTGATTTTGTATATGTTTGAGCAGCTTCGTAATAATAGTATAAATTATTTCAAAAGTTGTACATTTCCTAGAAACTTGCTAATTTTCCAAAAAATGAAAAAGAAGTGGAGGGGTTGCTAGGGAAAAACAAATGAAAGACAAAAAAAAAAGATTTTTTTTATCAACCCCACCAAAAAAAAAAAAATTACAGCCATCTGTTGTCCTGGCTGCAAGTGAAGAAGCAGGTCCACATGAAAAACAATAGCTTTATTGTTTCATCTTGATTTATTGTATTAACATTTATAAAACTTGAGTATGAAGATTAGGGTTTTCTCTGAGTTATTACCATGGAATTTCTATTTCATTTCTGATAATAAATATGTCATTGAACTACATATAGTCTTAGCAGAGATGATCACAGAAAATTCCATAATATTGTAAAAATTACCACCAAAAAAAAAATCTTTTTTTTTTTTTTAGGTTTATTTATTTATTATCATCATAATCTTGTTAACATTTCTATGATGGCAAACAAACATGTTATTATTAGCAAATGATCTTCCATTTCTCGTTTTCTGTATGTTTTGCTTTTTCTCCCCCATCCTTGGTTCCCTCTCTCTTACCCTCTGCCACCTCCTGTTCTCCTCCCACACTGTCTCTGTTATCTATTTCTATACCATTTTCCCCCCAACATTTTATTGAATCACCAAAGACCCTCATCAGTCCAAATACCCTCCTAGCAAACACATGTGACACACACATTTCCATGAGCACAAGTCTAACTTTACGCATCCTATAAATTAGCACCTAACTGGGGCTACATATCCTACTGCAGTCATTTAATAGATACATTTTGTTTTCCTGAAACTTTTTTTTGTAACTCAATTTGCATTCCTTCCCTAGGCATCATCACAGCACACAAAATGTGATCTCCCATCCAGTACACACTGCATAGTGACTCAATCATGCACATTACAAAAAAAATAAATTTCCAATTCTAGTTGCTAGAATTATTTCCACCCCTCTTTCTGACCCTCTGTCCCTTCCCACCCTCCTCTCACACCACCTCTAGTGTCCAAAATTGTCCTCCATTCCCTTCCCACCCACATTGCATTGATCACACAATTTCCTACATAACCTGACTACTTTCAAAGGTGAGTTCCCTCGTTACTACTAAGAAAACCAGTTTTAACTTAAATCAAAGAACCGCCAAGGAACTTTGCTTAAAGCCCGGAAACAGGTTAGGATTCTGTTCAAATGGTAGGTGCATGAACCTATCAGTCTCATATACTTTTATCTTCTGTTCTGGTTCAATTTTCCTGATTAAATTCTGGGATATAGTATTCAACTCCAGACTTGTCCCTATGATTAAGTTAGCTACTTTCTCAGTTTTTGGACTCTTATTTCCATGTATCTGCGTTTAGTTTTCCTGATACAGCACATCCTTGAGAACTTCTTGGAGGTCTGGTCTGGTGCTGGTAAATTCTTTCAGGTTTTGTTTATCTGAGAATGTTCTTGTCTTTTCTTCCCACCTGAAAGATAATCTTGCCGGATACAGTATTCTTGGCTGAAACTGCTTCTCTCTTAACACTTGGAATATATTTTCCCATTCTCTCCTCGCTTTTATTGTTTCTGATGAGAGATCTGCTGTTAGCCTGATGGGATGTCCTTTGTAGGTAACTTGATGTTTTTCTCTTGCTAATCTTAGTATCTTGTCTTTGTCTGCAGTTTTGGTCAACCTGGCTATAATGTGTCTTGGAGAAGATCTTCTAGGGTTGATTCTATTTGGGGTCCGTTGTATTTCCTGGGACTGGATCTTTGAATGCCTCTCTAGGTTTGAGCCTCAACAAATAACGAAAGCTCTAATCACAGTTTTGGAAGCTTGGGATCTTTAAGTGACAAAGAATCAGAGAGACAACTAGCAGGCAGCTCAAAGGACTGCAAGTGACGGACTTTATCTGCAGTAGTTTCCCTTGAGACACCAGAGAAGAAACAGAGTCATCCAGGGGAAGAAAGAGAAAAGCAGAAAACCAGAATGAAAGTAGCGAGGGAAAAAGTATTGGAGGGCGTGGCCACAAAATTAGTGACTATTTTGAATACCAAGGTGAAAATGGCTCTAGCCCAGTAAGAGGCATACCTCCTGCAATCCTTTCTCCTCAAAATTCACATTCACATTCCACTCCCTCCTCATCAGTTGGACCCAATAGCCCTTCTCCTACTGCATTAGCTTTTGGGGACCACCCTATTATACAACCAAAGCAATTATCCTTTAAAATTACTCAGACTGATCTCACAATGCTGAAATTAGCAGCATTAGAAAGTAATAAAAACCAAGACCTGGAAAAGAAGGAAGGTCAGATAGATGATTTGCTCAGGGCTGTGATCTCAGACGGCAAATAGAAAAACAGCAAAAATTACTTGAAAAATATAAAGAACGATTAAATAAATGTATATCAATGAGTAAGAAACTTCTCATTGAAAAGAGTACACAAGAAAAACTGTCAAGTAGAGAGAAGAGTATGCAGGATAGATTACGCCTTGGGCACTTTACAACAGTTAGACATGGCGCTTCATTTACTGAACAATGGACAGATGGTTTTGCATTTCAGAATCTTGTGAAGCAGCAAGAGTGGGTGAATCAGCAAAGGGAAGATATTGAAAGACAAAGGAAACTTCTAGCCAAATGCAAACCTCCAACAGCTAATAATTCTCAGGCACCCAAACAAAGGAAAAATAAAGCAGTCAATGGAGCAGAAAATGATCCATTTGTTAGACCAAACTTACCACAACTGTTGACTTTGGCAGAATATCATGAACAAGAAGAAATTTTCAAACTTAGACTAGGACATCTCAAAAAGGAAGAAGCAGAAATTCAAGCAGAGCTGGAACGTTTGGAAAGAGTCAGAAATCTATGTGGAACCTTGTTCTGAAGGCCCGCGGCTTCTTCTGCCCAAAAAAAAAATCTTGAGCTGTTCGTGTGGTCAGGATTGCTTTCTGCATTGAATCCTAGGCCTTTGACCTTTATGAACAGAGGTATGCTGCTGTGAAGATCCATCAGCTTAACAAGAGCTGGAGAGATGAGAAAAAGGAAAACTACCACAAGTAAATATTAATACTTTATGGTTTTTACAACTTGAACATTTTTAAGGGTCCTAGAGAATTAATGAACTTTCTTCCTGTAGACACGCCTGCAGAGAGTATAGAATACACAAAGAACTGGATCACCCCAGGATAGTTAAACTCTATGACTATTTCTCCTTGGATACAGATACGTAAGTGAATATAAGGCTGTAAATCTTAAGTGTTTTGTTTTGTTTTGTTTTTGCTTTTGCTTTTCCTGTTCTGTGATGATGATATAAATATTCTCTATTTTCTGATGTGATTCTGAACTGTTGGATAATATTTGTGTCTAATTTTCATTCTCTTCTTGATTGTAGGTTTTGTACCGTGTTAGAATACTGTGAAGGCAATGATTTGGACTTTTATCTGAAGCAACACAAATTAATGTCAGAGAAAGAAGCTAGGTCTATCGTAATGCAGATTGTAAATGCACTAAGATATCTCAATGAAATCAAACCCCCTATTATACATTATGATCTTAAGCCAGGTAATTAATGAAATGTGTCTAATACTTTTTTAAGCTGTATAAAGTATAGTTTTTAAAAGTCATGGGGACCAGCAGTTGGTGTAATGGCTATGTCGCTGGACTCCCATGTAGTCGACTACGTTTTGAGTCCTGGACCCAGTGGCTTAAACTCACGCCAGGTGCTTGTGCGTGCGTGCCCTGGATCCCGAGAGGAGAATGGAAGAGAAGGGATTGCTGCGTGGCCATCCCCCCTGGGGGGTGATTTCTTGCTTTCTGTCTCTCTTTCTGGTGAGCGTACCCACCATATGACAAAAATCTCTCCAAAAAAAAATTTTAAAAGTCATAGACATTAAGTTATCTGATAACATACTCTTCATTTAGTTTTTAAACTTCAGAAGGATACTAGAATTGAATGTATATTATTATATCATTATAATTTAAAAATAACATATTCCCAAAAGGTAGATTAAAAAGTAGTATCTGTCATATATGTATTGTTAAAAGGAATCTTATCTTTTCTTATTAGGGAACATCCTTCTGGTCGATGGAACAGCATGTGGAGAAATCAAAATCACTGATTTTGGTCTGTCCAAGATTATGGATGATGATAGTTATGGTGTAGTTGGAATGGATCTTACTTCCCAAGGGACAGGCACTTACTGGTAAATATGTTATTCAAAATGCCATAATTGACTAGATTAGGTCTCACTGTGTTTATGATCATTTCATTTGTTTTAGTTTTTTACTATAGGGTGTGTGTGCTCACCAGAGACACACATAGAGAAAGAGGAAGTCAGAAATCACTCCTCAGAGAGGTTGGCCACACCACAGTCTCTTCTCTTCCATTCACCTCTCAGGATTTGGGTCATATGCGCTTGTTGTGAATTTCAAGCTCGCAGTCTGGGCTTGAACCATACAGTCACCATGTGGGATCCAGTTGCCATAACCTCTGTGCCAGCTACTGGCCCCCATGATAATTTATTTTTTTATTTCATACAGCCTTCAAAACTAATGTGGTAAAGATACAGATACTAGTCTAAGTTGAGTGGGACACTACTAGGTCAAGCCTCTTCTCATCTGTTCTTTTCTGGAAGGATCAGCACACTGGAGAGAGAATGATTTAGCATTAGCAGATGACTTCCGTACCTATGGGCCAGGAACTCCAAACGTGAAGAATTCATAGATTTTCTTCTACATTGTTAGAGTGATGTTTATTATGAATAGAAAGTACTTTTATAAATATAATAACTATTACAAGCAAAAACTGTAAGCATCAAACCCTTTGTAAAGATTTTGTGGTTGCAGTGTTTGTGGGAGGTGGATGTTTTGTCAATTGTGAATGGAGGATAAATTTAGCAAATTCTTGATCTTTGGACTTGACTCCCAAAAACCTTTTAGGTCCAGGCCCAGTGGTGCACAGGTAGTGCCTCTACTTGGGAGGTTGGAAGCCATCTGGGAGACCCAGCTTTTTGGTTGTTGAGCAGACTTATGCTTTTGAGAGTGCCAATTGTCCTAGCTAATTGGGGGCTGGGGCAGGAAGATCCTGACTATGAGACCCTGTCACAAAAGTTACCTCTCTCTCTTCATTGTCCTTTCTCTCTCTCTCTCTCATAAAGGAGGAAAAATCTCTGTCAGAGTTCCTACAAAGCCTGGTGGTTAAACCACATGGCCAGTCATGTGGTTTGAGTCCCAGACCCAGTGACTTGAAACACACACTTGAGTGCATATCCATGCATGTGTGGCCAAAATGCTGAACAGATGGAGAAATGGAGGGAGATGGGATTGCAGTGTGTTCCTGCCCCACTGGGAGATGCTTTCTCTCTCTCTCTCTCTCTCTCTTTCTCTCTCTCTCTTGCTGTCTTGCTGGCAAGTGTACAGGCCTTCTGATAAGTAATACAAATCACCAAGCCATGGGCTGACCCTTTACATTTTTCTTTTAGCAGTAAGACTCATTTTTTCTTTCTTTCTTTTTTTTTTAAGTTGTTTTACTTTACTTATTTTATTTTATTTTAATTTGATCAGATTGAGACAAAGAGAGAGAGAGAGGGAAAGTGAGAAAGCGAGCCACCAGGTCCGGGACTCGAACCACCGCTGGCTGTGTGGGAGTCCAGCACCCTTACCCACCATGCCACCTGCTGGCCCAAGACTCATTTTTCACAACAAAAATCTTAGAATCCTCTTACCTAAAACCAATGAAAGCAAGACTTTGTGGTAATAACCCAGCCTCCATGGAAGATAGCTTGAAAATCATGTTCTAATAATAAATCAGTCCTTTTCTGCAAGACATTTTTATTTTTTGTTTCTCTTACTCTGGTTTTACTAATGTAGGGCAGTGCTAGGAACTTTCCCTCTTACGGTCAGGAATGAGAAAAACATAGGAGCTTACGTTTTTAGGGACTGTATAGGGAGGAGATAGCCATGCTGTTTCCAGATAGGAACACAGACTTTCCCATAGAAATAACACTCCAAAGCATGGCTTTTAACTCAAGGCAGCTGTTCAGCTATGTACTTGGTGAACTGGGATGGCCCTCTACATCGGTTAGAGTATGTGTACAGTCATGCCACACGAAGATGTTCTGGTTAACAGTGGATGGCATATTTGAAGGTGATGGCACCAGGCGGTACCAGTTAGCCTAGGCGTGTCAGGGCACTTCTAGGGTGTCTGCAGAATGAGGGGTCACCTACTCACTTATTTCACTGAAGTGTCCCTGTCATAACTGGATATGTTGATTTCATAAATCACCTTTCATTCCCAGAAACGTTAAATGTTTGTCAGGATCACTGAGAGGAAAATTAGTTTGTCTCTTCAGTCTCAGATGCAGTCATCCAGGAAATGCTAGTGGACGTCGTCTTCCAGGTGTCTGTGGGACTCTTGCTGTAATTGCCCTCCTTGCTTCTACCCTGTAGCCAGGAGAGACAGTGTACATGTAGCCTGTAAGAGTCATTCTTGATTCAGGTAGACACATGTACGTTTCAAATTACACATCTTTATTGATAAAAAGAAATTAGCTTTTTACTTGATTCCAGGGGTAGGAAAGAACTTACATCACAGATGAGTTATAGGTCACTTTTGGTGGTTCTTCGTTAAGGAAATTTCCTGTGTTTTTTCTTTTTTTCCCCATTTGGCTACATTGATTTTTTTTTTTTAAGATTATAGTTTATCTGGGGCTTTTTGGTTTTGTTTTTTGTTTTATAATTCACTTATTTCTTCTATGAGACAGAGAGAAGGAAAGAGCAAGGGAGGGATCTCCCCAGCAGGGTCTTCACGCCATGATCCATCCCCAGTCTTAGCTGGCTTGGATTATGTGCATGTACGTGTGCCTGGAATGTTGAGGAAGGTCCTGGGATGTGAAGCCAGGTGCTTTTCCATGTGGGTCCAGTTGTGTGTCACTGTTGTACCACTGCCTGGCCTCTATCTAAATTTTCGAGGTGTGAGATGTTTATATCCCTGATGGACCTTTTTACTTGTAACTAGAAATGACAATTTTTTTACCCTTTCTACCCTTTATTTTAAAAAATCATGAACTTCTAAATAACACTTACAAATTTTTCAAATAGTGTTTTGAGTACTCAATATATTTGGACACTTCTAGTGCTTGAGATTCCACAGCAAATAAGAGCTCTTTGAGCTACGCGTAGCCGTTTGATTATAATGTAAAGCCGTTATAGAGGCGCCACATAGCCACCTGCTGTAATGTAAGAAACAAAGCTCTGCCTGGAGAGAAGCAGAGCAGGCTCATGAAGGGCAGTAGGTCTTGAAGAAAAGCTGCTCACCAGGCGAGCTGGAGTGCTGAGGGGAAGCCTCGGCGAGTGTCATAGTCAAAAGTATAGCAGAGAAAGGAGAGCCGTGCGGAGAAGCAAGTGAGTTGGCTTTGACCAGCCAATTTGGGAGCTGGGGACAGGGAAGAGAGGTAAGGGCAGATTCTGAAAGTCTGTGGTGTTCCCAGATTAGGGTGGGTCTTGTGAGGCAAGCAGTAGATGTGAAGTCTTAGCTTGTTGACAGTAAGTATTTAACCAGAAAAGCCACATGACCAGATGCATATTTACGAAGAGAACTGTGGACAATATGAACCATGATTAAAAGGTTAGAGGAGGATTTCTTCTCTCCTTAGATATTGTCTCGAATTAGAATATCATAATCGCTAATGATCATTTTTTGTTTCCGTAGATAATTATATATATATATATACACACACACACACACACATATATAAAATATATATAATTTTTAAAATAATTGTTTATTTAACTTTCTTTTCTTCTTTCTTTCTTATTTTAATTTACCAGAGAGGGACAGAGAGAGAAAGCAAGAAAGCAAGCCACCAGATCCAGGACTCAAACCACAGTCAGCCAGGTGGGGGACCAGCGCCCTTAACCACCATTCCACCTTTCAGTCCCATATTTTTTATGTATATATAAATATATATACATATCTTATCACAAGGTTGTATGTGTTGCTCTAATTAGTTATTAGTAACTAATTAATTCAAAAGTTTAATTGATGGAGGGACATGCATGATAGTTAAGGCGCTGGACTCTCACATGGCCAACCGTGGTTCAAGTTCCAGACCTGACGACTTGCTTTCTCACTCCCTGCACTGCCACCCCCACTTCTGTCTGTTTCTGGTGAGCACATGTGCCCTATAGCAAATTTTAAAATAATAATATATAAAATTTTCCTTTAAATTAAAAAGTACTTTAATTGATGGATTTAATTGAGGGGACTCTTAAGCTTTATGTATAGATAAAAGGAGTGTTCTAAAATTTGACATTTAGAAGATCTGGAATTACACATTGTTAATAGTATCCTTTTCTTTTAACTCCCCCACAAAAATATCTACAGGTATTTACCTCCTGAGTGTTTTGTAGTTGGAAAAGAGCCACCAAAGATTTCCAACAAGGTCGATGTGTGGTCAGTGGGAGTCATCTTCTTTCAGTGTCTTTATGGTAGAAAGGTAAGTGAAGTTCCACTAGGTTCAGCTGTATAGAGATAAGTTGAATTTTTTCCACACAAGTACAAAGTTTCACTAAGTTGAAGTCTATTTAGATTCTTCCAATGTGAATTAGCCTTTTCTGTTTCTTCCTAAAATATAAATGGATTAGAATTACTTTAATATAATAATTTATTTGGTCTATTTCCTTTTTTTGTTTCTGTCTCTCCTATCTCTCTTTTGGAAAAGATGTAACTATCTCGTAACAGGGCCAACATTTTCTACTATTCAGAAGACTGCAGTCAACAATTTTCATTATCTTCCACTTTTTCCAATCTCCCCGCCCCCTCGCCCCAACACACACACACAGTCTTTGAATCCTCTTATGTAAGATTTGGCCTGGGTAGAGATTTGCCTCTTTAGGGAGATACCAGACTTATTCTTTACTCTCCCCAAACCTCTTTTTGTATTGACGCTGGAGGTGCAAGTGCATACGTCATCCACCCCACCTCTCCCCCAGCCCGTCTTCAGTATGGGAAGAGAAGAAGGGCCTGTGTGAGAATTCACGCGTGTAAAACCAAACACAGGTCTTGTAACTTCAAGTCCTAAGCTGTTTTATTTTATCGATAGTTAGTGTGTCATGCATAAACTATTTTATTGTTTGGATTTTTTTTTGGGGGGGGGGAGGTTTTTTCGCTATAGGGCGTGTGCGCTTGCCAGACAGAGAGAGAGACATAGAGACAGAAAGCGAGAAATCGACCTCCCAGGGGGGATGGGCACACCGCAATCCCTTCTCCTCCATTCTCCTCTCGGGATCTTGGGCACGCACGCGCACATGCCCAGCGTGAGTTCTAAGCCACCGGGTCCAGGACACGAACCATGGTCGACTACGTGGGAGTCCAGCGACATAGCCATTACGCTAACTGCTGGTTCCCTATTGTTTGGATTTTTCAGAAAAATTTTTTTACTTCTCCTCTCTTCTCTAATCAAACTTTATTTTTTTGTTGTTACCAGAGGGCATGTCATTCACCAGAGAAGGAGGAACTCTCCCCCCACCCCACCCCCCAGTGGTGCTTGGTCATACCACAATCCTTTTTCCTTTATTTCTCAATTCTGTTAGGAGTTTGGGCACACACACACATGCCTCTGGTGTGTTTTTCAAGTTTCAGGGACTGGGATTTGAATTGCTTTCAACCATGTTGGGTTCAGCTGCCTACGTATAGTGCTAAACGGTTGTACTATGGAGCTAGCCCCAAATTTCACTTTTTAAAGATTCAGGGCCCAGCCCCAAGGGCTGGTGGTTAAGGAAGCCGGATCTCATGAGGCTTGGAAAACATAGCCATGTATGTACCTGCATGCCCCAAATCTTGACAAGTGGAGAAATGAAGGCGAAGGGACTGTGGTGTGACCATGCTCCACCGTGGAATGCTTTCTCCCTGTCTTTTGGCAAGTACATGAGAGGGCCCTCTGGCAAATTAAAAAAATGTTAAAAAAGATTTAGAGTATCTAAGTTTTAAATTTCTTTGTTTTTATTTTATCTTAATTACTTTTATTCCAATAGCATTGTTTTCCTCCTTCTTAAGAGTGTTTTCATCCATGATTAGATTTCATTAGGTGGGCTTTCTTAGCACACAGTTAATTATAACCATGTTTCTATGTTTCTCAACTTGCAAATGATTGAGGACAACATTTTACAACACAAATCATTTGTATTTGGGGGATTCACCAGTGCTATTTCTGTTTCAGGGATAAATTTCTCAACATTTTTTTTCTTTTTCTTTTTTTCCTTAAGCCATTTGGTCACAACCAATCTCAACAAGACATTCTTCAAGAAAATACGATATTAAAAGCCACAGAAGTTCAGTTCCCTGTAAAACCAGTTGTAAGCAGTGAAGCCAAGGTACTAGACTTCCGTAAATCAATTGCGTGAGGCGTCTTTCCTTTTACCAGTGTGCTTTCCTTGCTGTGCTATGCGTAAGTGACGGGCGTGGCTCCTGCAGGGGAGCTGTCTGGCAGATGCGCTGATGGTTTGCTTTGAAAAAAGGAGCTGCATTGGTCTCTGCTTGGAATAATTTTCATCTTTTAAGCACTGAGATATGTTCCCTGGTTTTCTGTGCACATCAGGTTACTCTGAAAATTCAGGAAACTCACAAAACCTGGACGGATCACTATCTTTATGTCTTATGTGTCAGCTTATTTTAAGACTGTATTTAAGTATGTAAGAAATAACAGAAGTATTAGACCATCAGGAAAGTCATGAGTGTTTTTCTGTACAAAAATGCGTCATGACTTTCCCGGCGACCCAATAGCTAATAACCCCATTTACCTAGCGCTTTTATATGTATTATATTTTAATAGCCTTGCGAAGGATAGAGTTCTGATTTACACAAAAACCTTCTATGTGAGGACCAGCAGGTGGTGTAATGGTTACATCACTGGACTCCCATGTAGTCGACCTCAGTTTGAGTCCCAGATCCGGCAACTTAAAACTCATGCCAGGCACATGTGTGTGCGTGCATGCCCAAGATCCCGAGAGGAGAATGGAGGAGGGATTGTGGCGTGACCATCCCCCGGGGGGGTGATTTCTCTCTTTCTGTGTCTCTGTCTCTTTTTGTCTCTCGAGCGAGCACATGCACCCTATAGCATAAATCCCCCCCCCCAAAAAAAAGGAAAACCTTTTATATGCTTAATATCTTCTCACCTTCACCTCCTGGCCTTTCATATTGGTATTCTTACTCCTCCTCTGTCATGCTTGTCACAAAACTCACTTCTTTATAGCTCCTTGGTAGAGTCTTAACAGGGTCTATCTGTTTTGCCATCCTTCACCCAGCTTTTGGGGGGACTGGGAATCAAAGCTGGGCCTCCCGTATCGCTCCAGCCTGCTGAGTAGCCATGTCTACCAGCTTGTGCCACGGTGGCTGGGCCAAGTCTTCTCTTTTTCAAATCCTGTGAAACTCATAAGACAAATCCATGTAGTTGGTTTTTCTATGTGAATAGTGCAGGCCCTAAGAATTCATAAAAAAGCGCCATACTATATTTCTGGCCTTTTACAGAGCAGAGATAAGGACTGCTAGATTAGTTCGAGGTCAGAGCAGCCTTCATAACTGAAAGTGTGATTCCTTTTATGTCAACTCGATAGGTGTGTTTGCTGGAACTGTCTACATTCCCTTGTCTCCTACATCTTTATTGCCTTTTTGCAGGTTATTCGTATAACAGATTTTGACAATTAAAAATATAAATGTTGTGCTCTTATTTTGAAGTATGATCTATTATTTTCTTTCTTTTTTTTTTTTTTTTTTGAAGAGGTTTTTGCTATAGGGTGTGTACGCACGCCAGAAAGAGACAGAAGAGACAGAAAGCAAAAAATCACCCCTCACTGGGGTACGCACGCCAGAAAGAGAGACAGAAGAGACAGACAGAAAGCAAAAAATCACCCCTCACTGGGGATGGCCACGCCGCAATCCCTTCTCCTTCTCCTTGGGATCTTAGGCACGCATGCACACGTGCCCAGCGTGAGTTTAAGCCACTGGCTCCAGAACTTGATCCATGGTCAGCTGCACGGGAGTTCAGCAACATAGCCATTACGCCAACTGCTGGTCCCAATCTATTATTTTCATAACGTAAAACATCTCACTCCTTTAAAAAGATCTTGACTATGCTAGTATCTAAATCTTATCTTTCATTGCTGTGAAAGCATCAGTAAAAACACTAAAATTAAGTAAAACAAGATTTTTTTTTTGAATACTGGTAGAAAATGGCCAGGAGTTCTATGTAGCTATCTGATTCTGTCCCTAGTGTTTTTTAAGGTGCTACAGTCAATGTTCTGTTATCTGGAATGCAGAAACAATTTAAAGCTAGGGGGTGCAGGGTCTCCAGGTGTACATATTTTTAACCTCTTGTCCTTACAGAACATGACTTTTGCCAAGTCCTTTCGCTGACCTACTCTGGGAATGTTCAGTGCATTTACTTGATGTGAACTTTTACCTCATGTTGCTGGATTTCATTCCCTGAAACTCTGCCTTCAGTGTATCAGTCACTCTTGATTTATGTTTCTCATCTTAATAATTTTCAAAATGATCTTTGGAACTTTGTATTTGCTAAAGACTAAAAAACGGCCAGACCTCCAAGGGATCAGACAGACTTTGGATAGTCAAGGTAAAATGGTCAGAATAGCTAGATAACGCACTAGGGAAAAAATTTGTTTCTAATGAATTTCAAGGCAAAGAAGGTACAAAATAGTTACTTTTTAAAAAATTCTTTTATTTTATTCATTATTATTATTTTTTAATTTGACCAGTGAGTGACAGAGAGAGAGAGACAGGGAAAATGGGAAAGCAAACCAGTAGGTCCAGGATTCAAGCAGCGGCCGGTCATGTGGGAGTCCAGCACCTTAACAATCACGCTACCTCCTGGCCCCAAAATAGTTACTTTTAAATGTGATTAAACTTCTTAACTGCATGTATCTCTGTTTTAGTTTTTTTTTTTTTTCATGCAAAGCCTTTAATTCATGAACCTATGTGGCAGTTAGGAATTTTTTCTTTTTTTTAGGTTTTTACTATGGGTTACGTGCATTTGACAGAAAAAGAGAGAGGGGAGAAAGTGAGATAGCATCCCCCCCAGTGGGGATGGTCATGCCCAATCCCCTTTCCTTCATTCTTCTCTCAGGATTTTGGGCATGCATGCCCATGTATCCAATGTGTTTTTTTTTTTTTTTTTTTGGAGAGATTTTTACTATAGGGCGCGTGCACTCGCCAGACAGACAGAGACAGAGAGACAGAAAGCGAAAAATCACCCTCTGGGGGGCTGGTCACGCTGCAATCCCTTCTCCTCCATTCTCCTCTCGGGATCTTGGGCACGCACGCAGATGCGCCTGGCATGAGTTTTAAGCCACTGGGTCCGGGACGCGAACTGCGGTTGACTACGTGGGGGTCCAGCGACATAGCCATTACGCTAACTGCTGGTTCCCTCCAATGTGATTTTTAAGCCACTTGGTCCAGGACCCAAACTATGGTCATCTATGTGGGAATCCCAGCACTTTTAATACCATACCACCTGCTGGCCCTGGCAGTTAGGAATTTTAAGACAAGCCAAAGTTATTTCTAGTATCAGCACTATAAAAGGGAAATAATTATTTTATCTGTTGCAACATAAGTAGATTAATCTTAACAAGATTATTCAAAAACTTCCAGGCAAAGGAGAATATAATCTGTGATTCCATTTACATAAAGTTCAGGACAAGCAAAATACAACCATGGTGTTAGAAGTCAGGATAGAATTACACACGTACACTAGGGAACGGAGCCAGTCCTGGGAAGGAGGGGCACAGGGCCTTATGGGGTCCCTTTGTTGCTTGGTCTGGTTGCTGTTTTCATAGGTACATTTACTTTGTACTATACACTTAGAATTTGTGTCCTTTTTCTTAAAATACATTCTTCTTCACTGAGGGGTTTTTGTTTTTGTTTGGTAAGCTATTCTTTTTTTTCTGTAAGGAATTATTTTACTGGGACCAGCAGTTGGTGTAATGGCTATGTTACTGGAGTCCTGTGTAGTCGACTGCAGTTCGAGCCCCAGACCCGGTGGCTTAAACTCAGGCCAGGCACGTGTGCGTGCATGCCCAAGATCCCAAGAGGAGAACAGAGGAGAAGGGATTGCGGTGTGACCATCCCCTCTGGGGGGTGATTTCTCACTTTCTGTCTCTCTGTCTGTCTCTGTCTCTCTGGCGAGTGCACGCGCCCTATAGCAAAAACCTCTCCAAAAGAAAAATAATTATTTTATTGAACTAACTAACTTACTTACTTTTTCCTTCTCTCTTTCTCTTTCTCTCTCCTTCCTTCCTTCCTTCCTTCCTTCCTTCCTTCCTTCCTTCCTTCCTTCCTTCCTTCCTTCTTTCTTTCTTTCTTTTTAATTTGACTGGAGAGGGACAGAGTGAGAGAGAAGGGAACCAAGAAAGCAAGCCGTCAGGACTTGAACCATGGTCAGCCATGTGGGAGACCAGTGCCTCTAACCACCACGCCACCTGCCAGCCTGAAGAAGCTATTCTTAAGAATATGTAAAAGTAGGCTAAGTAAAAAAGATAGTCATCACATTCTGGAATATTAGACAACTTTTCACAAGTGTAATGATGCACAAGTTCAGCGTAGGAAAGAGAATCCCAGTGGAAGTGTTACTTCAGTGTATCCTCATCCAAAGAAGTCTTCATGTACAATAGGAGAAAATATTATTGCTCAAAGTGATATCTTACCCTTTGGCCAAACTGAACTGAGCAAAATGGGGTCAAGGCGGAAGGACTGTTTAGGAGAAGAAAAATGCTAGAAAAAGAAGTCTTTAGAATTTTCTAAGCAGAAATGTAGTTTTCCAGCAGTAAGTTCAAATGGTAGCAGTTATTATTTAGACCTTAAATTGAACTCCTGGTGGTAGCTTGGTGGTAAAGATGCTGGATTCCCACATGGCCAACCATGGTTCAAGTCCTGGGCCTGACAGCTTGCATGCTTTCTCTCTCTCTCTCTCTGGTCAAAACTGAAAAATAATGATAATAAATAAATAATTATTTTTTTACAATTGAACTCCCAAGAGTTGTGAATGGAGAATTGAATTTAAAGCGAGAGTTTTATTACTATGAAAGGTTTTGGGTTTTTGGGGGATTTTTTTGTTTACTTGTTTGTTTAACATTTCAATGTCACATAAAATGAGATCTATTTATGCTCTTAAATTGTGTTTATCCTTAGAGCCAGCAGATGGTGTGGTGGTTAAGGCACTGAACTCCCACATGGCCAACCATGGTTTGAGTCCCAGACCTGGTGCTTGCTTTCTCCTTTTCCTTCTCACTCTCTTTCTGTCTGCCTCTCTCTGGTGAATACATGTGTACCATAGCAAACAAAATAATAATAATAAAAATAAATAAAATTCAATAAATAATAATTTTTTTTGGTGGGGAGAGGTTTTCACTATAGGGTGCATGCGCTCGCGCGAGAGACATAGAAACAGAAAGGGAGAAATCACCCCCCAGGGGGGATGGTCACGCTGCAGTCCCTTCCCCTCCATTCTCCTCTCGGGATCTTGGGCACGCACGCACACGCGCCCAGCGTGAGTTCCAAGCCACCGGGTCCGGGGCGCAAACCGCAGTAGACTACGTGGGAGTCCAGTGACATAGCCATTACACTAACTGCTGGTTCCCAATAATAATTTTTTTTAAATCTGTTTATCCTCTTAAATGTGTCTGTCCTACAGGAGTCAGTTGGGGAAAAGATCATTTCAATTGCTAACTTTTTTTTTTTTTTTAAGGCCTTTATAAGACGCTGTTTGGCATACCGAAAAGAAGATCGGTTTGATGTGCATCAACTGGCAAATGACCCATACCTTCTTCCGCACATGAGAAGATCGAATTCTTCAGGAAACTTACACATGGCTGGGCTGGCAGCATCCCCCACACCCCCTTCTTCAAGCATAATTACTTACTGACTGTCCTCCAAGACTGGCATGATGTCTCTGAATTGCTTCCAGATGCACACTTGAGTTTGAGAGCATTTGAGTGTTTTTTGTTTTCCTTTTCACACAGGACAGGTTAAGAACTGTTTGTGAACCGAAGTTCTTCCTAGCGCCGTTTCTGCGAGTGGATCATGAACAATGAATAAATGCACACTTCTGGCGTAACCGTGAGCAGTGAAGGGTGACTGCCTGTGGCACAGAAACGGGAATCCCGTGTTAAGATAGAAGAACATGTTTTTGTTTTTGTTTTTTTTCTGTTTATTTGGGGAGAACACTGTAAATAGTGTTTGTAATACTTAAATACATTTGGCTGTTATTAGAGAGTTCTAATATGAAAGGTAGTTTTTCATTATTTAAAAACACGTGCAGAAAAATATGAGACATATTTCTAACACGAGAACTACAGTGCCTGGATACACTCCTCAGCTTTCGGCAGTTCCTCTGCTGAAACCAAAGGAAGAACTGAACGACAGTCACGGTCGTGTTTTATAGTAATAGAATGTGAGAGTTGGAATCTTTGGACAAAGTTAGGCTTTGTCATTTGCCTCTTCTGGCTTTTACCAAGTTGTACCTCGAAATCACATGTCCGTTTTTTCCACTGGTTACATTAAAGGGAGAGCTGTTATTCCTAGATGTTTTACACCTTTGACAAAATGAGCTGCTTGTTTTGACATCAGTTGAATTCACTAAATCGTAATATCTCCAGTGTTTTCAACGTCAGGTTACTAACAGGTTATTTTCTTTCGTTACCAGGCCTTGTTCATTAAAACAAGTGACAGTATATAACCAAATGCAGACCAGTTCTACGCAGGATAATGATAAATTCCCTTCTAGCTCTATTGTAAATTGTTGTACAGATGTCATATTTCAATTACTAAGTTTCAGCAGTTTATTCTTGTACAAATGTTTAAAAATATGGCTTTTCTAATTGGATATTGTATTTTTTTTAAGTCTTCTTGAAGGCGCTTTAATTGCTGCTAAATGATGTTGCTTCTTTGCTAAAAGAAATCAAATGACCTCTTTGAAGGTGCAAGTTGACTGTACATCATCAAGATATTAAAAGCAGGCATTCATTAACAATCAAGGCATGTAAAAACGATCCATGTTGGACATATTGAGTTCCTTAAATCAGTTTCTGGGTTCTGGGGCTGTGGAGCACATAGATACTAGATTTATAAATTGTTCATGATTATCCTATATTTCTAGAAGGTTCTTATCAGCAAGATGGGATCATGGTCCCATAACCGAGTTTCTTCAGTTTGTATAGACTTGTTAAAATGTGAACATTTTCTAACTGCCTTGTATGGTAAAAAACAACCTTTTAAGGATGCTGTATTTCACTCCTGTAAGGACGTTTTTCTTTCTTGTCACATTCATAATGCTGATACTTAACATGTTAAAGTCCATGTTGCAGAAAAAGGAGGCTATACTTAACCACAGCGTCGCCTCAGTATTGTACAGTTAAACTGGCTCTACTTCTGATGTTACAAGCCATTTTTTTTTCATTGTACATAGACACATTGTCTCTTTAAGATGCTGCTGAAATTGTAGAGAATATAGCCAAAACAGTAATAAACAATGACAGTTAAAATGTAAAGACTATGAAAATTACATTTGAAGGGAGCTTTCATGATTTAGAATACTGACTAACTTAGCTCCTGTTAAACTGGCTCTACTTCTGATGTTACAAGCCATTTTTTTTTCATTGTACATAGACACATTGTCTCTTTAAGATGCTGCTGAAATTGTAGAGAATATAGCCAAAACAGTAATAAACAATGACAGTTAAAATGTAAAGACTATGAAAATTACATTTGAAGGGAGCTTTCATGATTTAGAATACTGACTAACTTAGCTCCTTACGAATCAACTGAATAAACTCTTTAAGCATACTTCAAGACACGTTTGAAGTGTTTCAAGCTGTTAAAGTTAAACCTAATAACCATTATCAAGGCTAATCCTGGGTAAGTAACACTTAGTACTATCACAGGTGGCGCAAGGGCTGTACCTGTCCCTCTGCAGATTAAGAGAGAAACAGGACATGGTAATGGAACGTTAGCATTGCTTGCATGCTCTCCGTGCTCCCCACAGGTTGGTAAGTTTTGTTTTTTTTAGTTCTTACCATTCTAAATCATAAGCTACAATGTTCATAGAGTATTGTTTAAGGTCCTGAATTAAAGGAAAATGCTCAGTTTAAAAAATTCGTTTTGGCGAGGTATGAAGTGGATGTGTAAGTCTAATGAAGTTGAGTGGTCATACAGACCGAGATCGCTGCTTTGCCATGTTACTTTCAAAGGAATGAGAGTGACCGTTAGTGTCAAATCCAGAAAAGGAGGAAAAGAAGCCATAATAAACTCTTGCATAATAAAACTGCTTTCTTGACCTGAGTTTAGGTAATCAATTTAGAAATATGTATAGCAGATGAATCAACTTACAGACCCATGTTTTCCTTTTGAAGTTTTTCCAAACAAATGCTATTTAAATTTTGGATAAGAAGTCCAGGTGAGCCAGATGGAGTAATTCCTGTTCCCCTCACATGGGAAGTTGGTAGTGACTATTCAATAATGTTGAAGTCACTCAGGTAATCTTTGACTCTAATATCTTTTGAGGCTTCCGCTGTTCTCGAGTCTCCTGATGCCTGTTCTCAGAATTAAAGCATTTCTTACATTCCAAGATGATAGCCATGGTCTCAGAGTTAACACTGATACCTGCAAGGTAAAATGTACAGTTCTTACATGTTATTTAAAAACCTTCCTTTGATTTGAATTAGCTTTAGTGTACCCATGTTGAAAGGAAGTAAGTGTAGAAACCACCATAATTCGGATTTTGGGGATACTTGTTTGCAAAAATAAAGACTTGGTCTATTTTTTCCTTAATCACTGCCATCCCTTTCTCCTTCAAAGAACTTCAGTTTCTGAAAGTATCTAGAATGTGAACAAACATTTCTACAAATACCTCATTACATGAAGCCAAAATGGTGGAGCGTTTCAGCAGAACACTTAAAAGCCGATTTGTGTGTTATTTTGCTGTTCATCGTTACTTATTAAATGCAACAGTGTTGATTACCAGCAGATGTTATCAGCGATGTCTTAGTGGTAATGCAACCTGCAAGCTGAACTGCCCATTTAGATTGTTAGTTTACTCTTAAGTTTAATTTCATTGCTGCTTGATTTCTGTGTGAAGGCGATGGCCTTACTCATGTTCCTTTAAAAGCACATTGGCAGGTTTTCCTCTAATCCCATTTAAAATGTTTATGTTATCTGATCATTTTCCCTCCAAACATACTGAATGTCAGTGTTCTGAAAATCTAATCTAATGCAAAGTGTTGTAAGCACGTAGGTTTTTTTAAGTCAGATTATTACAGTTCTAGTTTCTGGACTCGGATTCATTCTGCAGCAGTCTTAGAACTTGTCCTTCCGCCTGAGTTGGCTTTGTTTCCTAATGAGAGCCTGTAGCTCTCCATTTCCCTTCTCCTACCTGCCCTTTCCTCCGTCTTGTCTTCTTTTGAAGATGTTTTTCTAGGAATTCCTCAGTTTTTATATTGGAATGCTTTCAGTAAATCTTTATGAACCAACTTTAAAAATGATTTGCACAGACTCAGAGAACTTAGTAGAAGAGTTACGTCTAGTCGGGACCAAACTGCATGGCTTTCCCTCGGGAACCCCATCTCATGTAAAATACCAGCCACGTGGATTACCTAAGGGCAATAAAATAACGTGGTTAAAAACGCAGAATTTCAGAACCAGAGTCTTTGGGTTCACATGTTGGCTACCATTTACTACTTTTCTCTCAGGCTCCTCCTCTGAAAATGAGGGTAGCAGTACCTCCCTGCAGAGGGCTCGGCTCGTGAGGGATGGACGAGCTCACGCGTAGTACGTAGTACCTGGAGCTGTGTCCAGTGCGGTAGTTAGATGCCATGTATAATCACTGCCGTTTTCCTTCCTTTCTAGGCTTCAGAGATTATTCTGTTGCTTTTGCTGCATGTACAAAATGCACTCAGCTTTGCTTCCTTAGATAATTTAAATTATTTTAATAAACAGCCTAGAACACGATGGTCACCTGTGACCTGGTGAGTAAGGGAGCTGGATCCCACATGGCTGGCTGAAATTCAAATCCCAGATCTGGTGGCATGAAAAACATGTGTGCCCCAGATCCCCAAGGGCAGCGAGATGGAGGAGGGGTCGCAGCGTGACCATGCCTGTGGTGGGATGCTTTCTCCTTTCTCTCTTCTCTCTTGCTCTCTGGCACAATTTTAAAAAGAAAGGAGAGGGCCAGCCAGGTGCATGGTCGTTAAGGCAGCTGGATCCAATATGGCCAACTTCATGGTTTGAGTCATGGACCGAATGGCTTGAAAAAACATGCTGGGCTCGTGTGTGTGCATGCCCAGAATCCAAAGAGGAGAAGAGAAGGGGTTGTGGCCTGGCCATTCTCCCTGGGAGGTGATTCTGTCTCTCCAGCAAGCCAGATCCCGCATAGCTGGCAGTGATTCAGATCCTGCCCTGGTGGCTTGGGAAACCTGCAGGATATGAGTGCACGTGCCAGGATCGTGATGTGATGGGGAAATGGAGGGGGGAAAGGAATGCTGTGTGACCAAGCCCTGTGCTGCTGCGGGGAGAGTTAACGTGTGCATGTGTGGGTTTTTCTCTCGAGTTTTCCTTATTAGTAACAACCATTTGAAATGAGATGGATGATATTACACTGGAAGGAGGATAAAGGTTTGGAGAGGGGGCATACCTGGTGAAGATAAAACTAGTTAGTAGTGGGATGAGGCCTGAAATACACTAATGTAACAGGAAATTGATTTATTTTAGAGAGATTTTAGCCTTAGGGCATGTGCACTCACCAGAGAGAAACTGAGAAATCAACCTCTACCCCCCAAGGGGATAATCATGCCACAATCCGTTTTCCATTTTCTTGGGATTCTGGGCACACGTGCATACACACCTGGCGTGAGTTTCCAGCCACCGGGCCTGTGGCTCTGACCACAGTCAGCCATGTGGAGTCCAGCACTTCAACCACCACGCTGACTGCTGGTCCAGTAATAGGAAATTGATTCATGTGTTCTTTTGACCATGAGTTTTAACTTCATCAGTAGGAATATTTTCAAAGTTTATTTCTGTGAGCTTCCCTCCTAAATGCATAGAATATATAGTGGAAAACTTTTTTATTTGGTGAAAAACTTTAAAACAAATTGAACTTGGGTAGAAGGGCCAGGGCCTTGTCATTTATGCAATAGTTGAGATTCACAAATGGCTGTGTTGGTAGGAGATAAGAAACTAAACATACTCAAACAACATGACTGTGGGATTGTCCGTCCAGTGTCAGTACCTGCCCACTATTCAGACGTGCTCATCCTTACATCTGGCCAAAAGAGTCAGTGCTTCATAGGCTCTTCGAGATTAAATACCTCTAAGGGAATAGAGCTGTAGGCTGAGGTGCACCTTAAGGTGTTTTTCTTATTTTGCTGATTTTTTAAGAGAGATTTTTGGTATAGGGTACACACACTCACTAGAGAGAGAAACAGAAAGCAAGAAATCATCCCCTGGGGGGATAGCCACACCGCGATACCTTCTCCATTCTTTTCTCTGGATCTTGGGCATGCATGCACATGTACCCTGTGTTTGTTTGTTTTAATTATTTTTAAAATTATTTAATTTTATTTATTCAGCCATTTATTTTAATTTGACCAGAGAGAGAGAGAAAATGAGAAAGCAAGCCACCGGTTCCAGGACTAGAACCATGGTCAGCCATATGGGAGTGTCCAACATCTTAACCACCACACCACCTGCTGGTCCACAACCTGTGTGGGTTTTAAGCCACTGGGTCTAGAACTCGAACCACAGTTGACTGGGTGGGAGTCCAGTGACATAACCATTACGCCATCTGCCGGTCCTTATTTTGCTGATTTTCTAAAATTACAAAATAAGACCAGTTCTGTGGCCTGGTGGTAAGGCAGCTGGATCCCACATGACCATCCCTGTGGTTCAAGTCCTGGACCTGGCATCTTGAGAAATGCCAGGCAGGTGTGTGTTGGTGCCCAAAATCTTGAAGGAAGGGAGAAATGGAGGAAAAGGGGTTGTGACATAATCATTCAGTGTGGGGAACCTTTCTCACTTTTCATGTCTCTGTCTCTTGAGAGGTGAGTGCATGTGCCCTCTGGCAAATTATAAAATCAGGGAAGTCCCTTTAATAGCAAACTGCCTTGTTTATAAGGAAGACAGAAAAAGGAATGGACTTTTTAGTAGCAGACGTGGAAGATGTTCTTTCTGCTAATGACTGGAAATTACTGAAGCTAAGTTTCATG